GGCTGGCGCATGGTTGTAGATTTTAGGCATCTTAACAACCACGTTATCACAGATCCCCATCCATTGCCACACATAAATCAAATCTTTGAAGAGCTTGGGAGTGCTCAGTTTTTCACAGCACTGGATTTATTGCACGGTTTTTACAACCTCAAGATTTGTGAAGAAGAACGCTGGAAAACTGCCTTTTCAACACCCCATGGACACTACAAATTTATAAGGCTACCAATGGGACTAAAAAACAGTCCATCAATATTCCAACGCCTTATGAATTAAGTCCTGGATGGATGCCTTGGAATATATGCCTACACCTACATTGACGACATTGTCATCTATTCCAAAGATGCTGATCAACATTACAAAAATCTTGATGATATTCTACAATGGCTAGATAAAGCTGGACTCGAAGTGAAATTCAGCAAGTGCCAGCTATTCCGGACACAAATAGAATACCTCGTATTTTTAATCAGCAAAGAAGGAATCAAAGTGAATCCAGAGAAAGTGAAAGCAATTCAAAATTTCCCTGTGCCAAAAGACGTCAAAGGGATCCAAGCCATTTTGGGATTGGTCGGTTATTTTCAATCATACATAAAGGATTTTGCCATAAGTGCTCAACCTTTATACTACCTCCGAAAAAAGGAATCTACTTTCAACTGGACTTCAGCTCAACAAAAAGCAATGAAGGATCTCCAAAACTGTATGCTGTCTGCACCTATCCTATCCTTCCTGGATTTTTCAAAAGAATTCATCCTCACAACCAATGCCTCAGCATTGGCAGTTGGAGCTGTCCTCACACAAAAAGAGGGCAGAAAAGAAGTTTTAATTGGTTGTGCATCAAGAACTCTCAACCAGGCTGAACAAAACTATCCAAATACTGATTGATGAATTTTGGCAGTATTCTACAGAGTGAATCAATTTTGATCATATTTATGGGGACATCAATTTGTGATCAAAATGGACCACATTGCAATTCCTTATCTCAGCCATCAACGCCAAAATGATAGCCGCAGAGCAATTACGTGGTTTACTACATTAACCCATTACCTGCCATGAGCCCCATTTGGGACTCACGCGGTTTTTGACCTGCCAAAAAAATTCCATTGAAACAAAAACTCGGAAAAACATGTGGAGGCTGCGCAATAAAGTTGTCTACAATTCAAGACCTTATTTGCCTCTTTTTGTTCATTTTAAAATTTACAGCAATATGTTTTCTGAAGCAAATTTTCAAATTCCATTGGAAAGTTAAAACATGACTTTTGGAATGCAAGATAAGTACTTCTAGTGCAGATCAATTCAAAATTTTCTATGTCCCTGTAGCCTGGTTATTTTTCAATGCTTTGGCATATTTTATTTAATTTTCTGACATTTTTATCAATCACAACAAGTTCAAGAACCTTGATCCCCAAATGGGGCTCATGGCAGTTGGGGTGTAAAAAAATAATTTTGGAATTTTCTTGAAAATGTGTCCAAAAAGCTCCATATTTTAAATAAACCTAACTGCTGGGTTGACAACACAAAAGTGATGATAAAAACATGTTAAACAAAATTTGTTCGATTTTAAATTAATTTTTTCAATTTTTTTTTGTATTTGTAGTAAATATAATTTTTGTGATAAAATTTTTTGAAGACACCCCTAAGCTTTTGAACTTCATGTAACAGTTGAAAAATGCTAGCAAATTACTTGGTATGCAGCCTGGATGCTGTTCAATGAATTTTATAGTTTTTACAAAAAAATTAATTTAGAAATATTTGTAAAATCATAAAAAACATTTATGAATTTCATTCCTAATGGCATTCTAGCATCTCAAATGGATCAGAAGATATGTTTTCACTCACCTTTAGCATAACATAATACAATTTAGCAAAAATAAAAAAATAAATTTTTTTTCCAATTTTTAAAAGATTTTTATCATTGTTAAAAAAGGAGATGGGACCTGCCGTGAGCCCCATTTGGGGATCAAACTTAAAATTTGAATATTTGACAAAATTTTGAATTTAAAAATTCGAAAAAAATATCCCCAGCCTATCTACATGTAAATGAAGTGAAATGGCACAAAAATGGGCATGCAGGAAATTTGGCAGTTAATGGGTTAATGTTAGAACACGGGGCGTTGCTTAGTCCGTTGCTGAACGGGTAATCCCGAGAACGGAGTCGTCAAGATCATTCGTACTTCTAATCTTCCAATAAAACCGTCTACTCTACTGCTCTTAATTGAGTTGGTCTTCCGCTTAGAGCGTATGTCTTAAATTTTAAATTTCACGAAAACTTTGAATTCTTAACAATTCAAAGAACTTCCCACATCAAAAAAATCAAATCACTCAAAATAACGCTTCTTGGAATTGAAAAAAGGCATGAACGATGCGTTTTGCATCAAAGGAGCGAAGGACAGAAATCTATCAGGATATCATTCGTAACATTATACAAAATACTGTACTTCCGAACGGTTGGTGGATTACATTTCCAGTACCTCACATTTTAAAAACTTTTTGCGAGTCATGGTCGGAATCGGACTAACTTGTTGCACAAAATCCGAAGCTAAAATTAATTTAAAAACAATACTATTCTCGTATCTCGGGGAAGTAAATATCGCATTCTTGAACAAATAAATTTAGAACATGCGATTTATCTCTAATTATGATTTCGAACAACTCAGCGCGAACAAACTCGATCATTTCTACAATAATTTTATCTTGGCCTCAGCAGCTATTTTGGGACATGTGGACTCCAGAAATTCAAGGGCAACCAGGGTACCATTCATTTTTGAAGACAAAGGTAATAATTGCCCCTCAGCAAAAACCGTGAAACAACATTCAGGACTTCGTCATTGACACATTTTCGAAGTTTCTATAGGGATTCCCGTGATGGACAGACTTACGAAGGCACGCACATTTCAGAACACGGGTCACTTCCATTGGGATTTCCCGGGACTTTTAGAAAGTGTGAAATTTTTCCTACAAAAAAATACAAACTTTAATGGAAAACAGGTAATCAGGCGCAGTGATTAAAGTGGAATGAAAATTTTACGTTGATCGCATGAGTTCGGAGAAAGCCCTCGCACAGGCAACAGAGAGAGCATCATAACTTTATAAGGCAGAAAATCTGCAAAGTTTACGATGGAATATGAACCGTCATTTTTTCTTGATTCTATTTCATCGATGCAAAATCAGTGACCCATACTACCTGAATTTCCGGGTCACTTCAACTCTTTGCCGAGCCCATCCCTCAACCTCGCACATTTTCTGAACCTCGTTTCCAATATGATAAAAACGACACCCGACGTCAGAGAACTGAGAAGATCCCGAACTCGATAAGCGAAGTTTTTCGTCATATTCTTGAGAAGTCTGTATCTGGAGATTATTTCCAGCATGCAGCCAAATGTTGAAATTCCTATCCATTCAGCCAAGCACTAGGAGCCCACATCGAAGTGACACTTTTATCCGGCAAGTCTGGAAAAAGATCATCCCCAGTCAATTTTTACAGCTAAACAAGGTCATAGTAGCAGGTGTGCCAGTTGGTGCTGTGAATCTCATGAAACAGACGTTTGACTGTTCGAGCTATTCATCGTTCGTTCCTTTCAAGTTAAAATAGGCGTGGTTGTCTTCTGGCAGACAATGCGAAAACCAGAGCAGTACTCAATATTCTTCGGTTGAAAAACAAGTCGTTATGCTTTATTTCAGATGGAATTTCGAATGTAGATCCGATTTTTCAAGCAGCACGGAACTTTCCGAGAAGTAGGAGAATTCTACATGAAAACTCAGACAAATGATATGGAAATCTGTTCACGCCAAAAGACTTGGCACACAGCCCTTCAGACGGAATTTAAAATGTAGACCAAAAAGGAATGCGCACACATTTTTGTAAATGCTTATCATAAGAACGAAAAAACGAGATTTTCACATGGCATGAGCAAATTGCTCCATTTAATACCAGAAGAGTAGGTGTATGAGTTTTGAAAGTTGGGAAATGAGTTTCGCAGAAAATCTCACAGCAAAGTATACTGTAGCACTGTACTGTACTAATTTTTGGACAAATCTAGGCATTTCTCATTTCGTGCGAAGACCTCGTCCGCAAATTATTCGCGCCGATTTTGGTTTGCAAGTCATATTAATTCTTCAAAAGATAGAAATAAAGATAGAAATCTTCAAAGATAGAAATTTCGCACATCGTAGACATTTCCGTGAGATTACACGTCAAGTGCTTTCAAATCCGTGTGTTCGACTATCAAGATCTTATCTTAGTTTTCGGTTTCCCACAGTCTGTAACGGAGTTCCTATAAAGATGCGTACTTCAATTTCCCACGAAAAGAGTTTTCCTGGAGATTCTCCAATAAGTCAATACTGGAAAAGTTACGGCTTCACTGAAACACAAACTCAAGGAGACAAACCCCGTAATAGAATTTTCAAATCGTATCAATGTACTGTATGCCTAAAAATACCACAGACAAACAAAGATGAGGAATCGGGAAAATTACACGGAGATACAGATCAACATCGGTTATCATCTTTCGGACTACTAAACAAAAAGCATTTAAACATGAAAGCAGTGTTTCACGTCAGCTTCTATTCACTTTAAAAACGCGCAGACACTTGATTTCACGCCAGCTATTTCATAGCGTAAAATAATACAGCAGTTCACGGAACGCCTCTAAATACAGAACAGTACTGAAACACGCGATTCCAAAGCGTCGTCTGCTCCGGAACGACGCGTCTGAATCCCCCAACGGGATGCAGGTACGCAGTGGTGGGCGTCACCCAACAAGTGACGCTTCACGAAAACTTCAAGAACAGCTTTCATCGCAGAGCGGATCGGAAGACCAAGAACGAATATTCACGCATTCTTAGAGTGAAGAAGAATCTTTTAACCATGCCGGGCATATGATGCCAACATGCCAAAATCTCACGAAACAATTAAATTTCGGCAGGCCGGCTTCAAAGCTTACCCCTCGAGCTCGTTCTCGAGTTTGTTAGGGAGCGAAAATCATGGATCATTCAGGCATGATCTCTTAGAAAACGTAAGTAGCTTCGCACCATGAACGGAAACTATCCATAGGCAATGACGTGCCCAATCGCATACCAACGTCACGTTTCGAAGAAAACCACTAGGCAATAGCCTTCCTTGTTTCCATGAAAATACGTCGCGCTCACAATAAAAAGCTCTACTCACCGGTCTTCCATGTCCTGTCAACCATCGTAAAATGAGCTGGTGCGTTTCCGGATCAATAAATGCTCTTTCGTCATTTCCATTGTGGTTGTTGTTGCGCTCTTCAAGATCGAAGTCGGAGAGTTGATCATCCGTCTCATCATTCCCATTATCACACATGATGTGTTGCTGCTGAATCGCGATTTTCAACCTTTCCATAGCCTCGCTGATAGAGAGGATCGGCGACGGAGGAGGTCCAGGATCATCGAAATCACTTCGACCCGTACCTATTCAACAAAAACACATGATCATGATATCCAAAGTTCACTCGAGTCACATAACTGCACGGGAACTCGTGGCACTCGAAATGATTGGCCCACGCAAAAATAAAGAGATTGAATAGAGTATTTCTCAAATATTAAAGATAGCCAAACATTCCCAGAGTTCCGCCGGAAAACGAAACGGCTTCATTCGCTGCGGACGGAAAACTCACTTGCAATGATTCCATCCATTTCAAGCAGTGCTGCCTCCAATAGCTTACTAGCATCTTCTCGAGAAGACATTGATCTGTTTGTCGAGCTGCAACTAGATACCGCGCCAGATGCCTTCCCAATCATTTCGCTGATCGTGCCGGATATAAACGTAACTCAAATAAATAAACGAAACCAGCAAGTAAACAACGCGAACTAAGGCTGGGTAACATCCAAAATAGGAGTTCAACCAAAACCTAGGGGAAAATAAAATAGCATCCATCAGCTGACCAAGATGTAATAACAATCTTAAAATAGAGGCATTGCGAACTTCATGAATGAGAACAACCTTTTCACTGAGAAGTTTTTCAAGATCACATCGTGATAACATCGCACTGTTCGCTGCCATTTGTCCTTCTTGATAGGAGCGGGCAAGTCATAGAGCTGACTAACTTTTCTGAACTCACATCAACTCACTTAACTCTCTCAAAACCCTAATGTCAGAAAAACCTGATTTTCCTCAGAACTACCCCTGTTAGAAATGTTTAAAAACACAAATTTCCCCCGTTCGTATTACAGCCTTTTGCATTGGAATGTTCCCGTCATGCGGAAGCACGCACGAATCGAGTGACACCTATTTCCAGTAAAAGAAAATGCTAAAAGAGACTCTCGTTTTTGACAAAGGTGACAGTCCTATTCTGCTCGACAAACAGCTTCTTATTGAAGCTACAGTATTTTGAAGCTTGCCGGAGGAAAATTCATACGGGAAAGATCTGCAACATTTTGACAAGGTTAAAAGATTAAGATAAGAAGTAGTTAAATCTTCATGTTCTATAGTTGCATCGACACTCTGGATGGTTGACCTGAATTAATCCAGATACTGTAGCACTTTTCCCGACAAGTGCTGTACGGATACCGCAGCACCAAGTTCGATGGAAGCATACACAGTACCTTATTAAAAATATTAAAATTTCGATCTAATTTTTCGAAAGTTCAATGTGTTTCCCCATTCCATGAACATTCCATCAATGTATGATCAATGTACAGTACCACTTTATATACAGTGCAGTATACAGGGTACAGCAGTACAAAATGATAAATTCTTCACTGCTTTATGATGTATCTATGCATAGCTTTGAAGCAGCATATGTGACATAAAATGCGGAAGCTGAAGCTCATCAATCGCTGATCACCATTGTACAAGTCATCGGAAATTACAGTATGTAAAAATTCTTCTAGTACAGTAACTCTAAATGGTTTCATGGTCTATTTATAGACATTAGATCTAGAGAATGTCACCATCGACGTATTTCCGAAGTGACACTCATTCCATTAAACAGTAACATCAAAAAATAAAAGTTTCTTCCAACTGGAAAATCCAATATTTTTTCCAAGGACCATTTTTCTATCATCTTTGCCAATAAACAACTGCACTTTTGTCCTCAATGTGTCTATCATTTCTCCATGAGTTCAACTTGTATTCCCAAATCAATTCATTTGTCCTGATACAATACTGTACTTGGTACCGGGTCATCCGCCAGTCGGTCAATTGACGGTCGCGCACCCGCCGGTCGTCAAGCGCCGGTCGGTCCAACCGCCAGCCAGGGCAGTTCTTGGCCTCGCCAATCCCCAGTCCACCAAACCGCGGTATTCCATTAAACAGTAACATCAAAAAATAAAAGTTTCTTCCAACTGGAAAATCCAATATTTTTTCCAAGGACCATTTTTCTATCATCTTTGCCAATAAACAACTGCACTTTTGTCCTCAATGTGTCTTTCATTTCTCCATGAGTTCAACTTGTATTCCCAAATCAATTCATTTGTCCTGATACAATACTGTACTGTATTCCCAATGTTACTTGGATGCTGTAGATGTGCGGATTTATATTTGTCGTATTCAACAACAAAATCATGCATATCTATCCAAAATTTCTAACACAACATTTTCAAACGTAAGTCGTTTTGTTACCCTCCTCATCTGAAAAAAAACTATCTGTATTCGGCTAGTAAGCCCTACATCGTCCTTGGTTAATTTCAAGAATGGAACGATCATATAAGATCTGTCGTATTTTCGAGGACATCAAAATTTAGCCACAACTTGATAGAAAAATCATTTAAATCTGGACTAACGGAGGTTTGGCACGGAAGACTTCCACTTATGTAAGTTCGAACTGCATCAGATTTTAAGGGAATATTGAGAACTCATTAATCGGAAATTTCAATCATGAAATTTTCAACTTCGCGAGGCTTGGCTTGTCCAAAGGTCCAATTGCATTCGGTATGAGATGCCTTTGATACATGCCACAATGATTGATGCTACGTACAGTATCTTCCTCAATGAACAAGCGTTTTGTTTGCTGGTTTGATCAGAACACGTGTATTTTTTTTTCGAAGTCTACAGCATTAAGTATCGAGGTTAGATAGCTCATGAATTTACATGGGACTCCAATGCAGATGAGACCTTATTTTGCTCGGACCAGCAAGCAGATAGTGTGGCAATAATTGAGCGATGTCGGGGGAAGATAACAGAGAAAAAAATGAAGTTACGGATATAACAGACGAGAGAAATAACAGCAGCTTAATAAAAGTCCAACGTGATGGCATTTTTTTCCACAGCAGCTTCGACTTGAATTACCATAACGGACTAAAAAAATGAAGAGGAAAGCGTAAATCGACAGTCGTCCATCCGAGGCTGCCGAGATTGCAAACTGCATATATATACATGCAAAAGGATTGGTACTGCAACAATATGTGACCAACCAAGTATAAACTCTGTCTAAGCAATGTGTCCTACAGATTCGAAAAGTTTTTGTAGTGAAACGCAAGTTCAATTTTGCAGTTAGTAGGTCACGCACAATAAGACGGATAAAATTATCTTCTTTTCTTCCCTTGCGTCCTGTTTCTGAAACTCGAAAAACACGCAATAAGTTTCTCAATGCTTTGAATTGTGTTTCTGATGGATACACAGGAGTATTGTAATTCATATCACACTTTCATTTTTTCAAATGCGATACAGATCTAAAATTCAGTTGCCTTGCTTATATATGGACAGGTTAGGTGATCAGCAGGTATTCATTTATACTTTGTGTATGCGCTTTTTATCTTGGTAAAGATTAGATTTTTTGGGTCTAGTGCGTTGTCCATATTGAAAAATTTTGCTTTAATTTTTCAAATAATTCTAGAATATGACACAATTTGATAATGCTTACATTTCAGCAAATCTCGATATGTGTTAATCCGGATCAATAATTTGTCAAGCAATATATTGGATTTTTAAAAAACTATACAGTACAAGGTACTGTACGGTATAAACAAATTTACTAGTTCAGGCATGTTTAACAATAATGTCGGAATAAAAAGAGCCTACACAGCAAATAATTCCCCCATAACAGAACCTATCGCAACCTAGTATTTCATGGAGAAAATGCCTATGAAAATCAAGATTGGGTTGTCCAAGATGTTTGATTTGCATTAAAGTCAAGTGTGTCTCGTGTGAAGTATGAAGATATGCTTGTCTGCTATGGCAATAATCAGCATGCTGGTACGGTAACTATGCTATACTAACTTCCCGCACTGACTGCACAACAAATACAGTACCATGCCAACATCTCACGGGATGCTATCAATTTTACAGAAATCTAAGATGACTAGAGACAAATTTGAGTAGTCATCAGAGGTCCGATCGTCACACCCTTCTTCTTAGTTTACGTATTGTACTAGACTAAACTGTGAAATTATACGATGGTCGGTCACGTACTATCAAAGTACTGATCATGCACCCATACAAAAAAATGAAACCCTCTATATAGATGCCACAGCAGAGAGAAAAGAGTTGAACCTGGTTCCGGTCTGTCTTAAACGTATGGGCAAAAGTCGTCCGTTGACTCGGCTCTGACATAACTAAATTATTACGTCAGGTACCTACGTACTCCCTATTCCTAGCGCAAGCCTTGGGCCAGCTTCAAAGTGCAGGAGAAGAACCGAACTATATCGGACGAAAACTAGAGGATTTTATAAGCTATTTTTTTCTTTATCCTGCGCTACTTTTCTGGAAGCTCACTCTTGTTGACTTCCTCTTTGTCGCAGTCCATTAAAGGACAAAATAAATTAGACGCTTTTATTGGGAAGGGCTTCGTAGAAGGGTGTCTATAGTATTTCCCACCTTGTTAAGTTAGACACAAAATGCCAAGATTCGACGGTTTTCAAGGCTTATCATCAAATTTCATAAGAAGGCAAATTCAAATCTTTCATTACAAGTATAATCGGGAAAGTATAAAGTACAGTACTTCTTTTCGCAATGAATACTGGAAGAAGATTTCTTTCTGAACACGGGAAAATTGCGCCGCTAAAAATAGACTACCGTCAATAAATTCAGCCTTAATTTTCTCAGATGGTTCAATTCTTTTAATTTAGTTTCACAACTCCTTTTAGTGATTATGAAATCCGGCGGATGTCAACAATGAATAAAAACAATTTAATGACGAATAATTTTGCTCATTAAGGCACAGAAAATTCACATTCTATCAATGCCTTTATTTGAGAGTGAAAGCGGCGGGATTTTTTTCCAGAAACTTAATGAAAATTTCCATTCTATTGAAGATCAATTCCACTTCATTCAATCAGTCACAGTACGTTGCTCGTAAAAAAAAAAATAGAAGGCACGAAGGTAGATTTCACAGTCGATTTGACCAGGGTCGTAAATTTGCCCGATTTAATGATTTCAATTGAATAAATTTGATCTTCAAAAAATCAAAGAAAGGTAATCGTATACTCGTAAGACCTAAATACAGGAAACGCTGATTTCGTTCTGACATAACAAACAACATCACTCCTACCTGTCAGGAAATATTGGTTATCGAAAAAAATAATTTTGGATCCTTTTATACCCGGATACCCGGAACTTTTCAAAAAAAAACTTCCGCAACGTCATCCGACGTAACTAGATTCCGACGGAAAACATGCTCCACTTATATGCATCTCCAGTACCATCACAGGGGTGGCTGCATTTATTCGTGCCCTCCAGAAAAATGGCATGTCATTAATACTGGTTTGACAAGAGATGTTCAAAATATCAAAACATTTACAAACAAAAAATAACTGGTTTCGGTTATGACACGAGCATTCTTGCATTGCAATGGCAGTCAGACAAAACACACGGATCGTGTTATGTATATAGGAAATACTCGGCGGACACATTATAACTGATGGAAAGCGTCTCGCTTTCATTTCTTTAAATTTTTATAGCAAAAGAAAAGAAGCCGAAATCGTCTGTTTGTCACGAATTTTTCTCGATGATTTCACCCGCTTTTTGTGCGGTTTACGTCATACTACACGATATTTGCACGTATAGAAGAAAACTTCAAAATCTGCATGATTTTCCTGCGGTTTCTGTTGATCATACTGTATTTAAAAAGGGTTCACGTACTGCGCTGTCAGACAGAAAGTTTTGTAGTAAAACAAAAAAATCCATCCTGGTAACACAATATACATCCCAGTAGAATTTTTCCAGCCATCGATTCTTCGAAATTCTGAGCTACTTTTCATGGTTTGGTCCGTATTACCGTATATTCTATTTTTTCAACCTGCGGTCCAAGGAAAAGTTTCCCAGAACCAACAGATGCCGTGATGGCAATTTGAACAGGAGCCATTTCACTATAGAAATTCTGCCCTGAATTTTCACATCATGCTTTGTGTACCAGTCTGCTTTATTGAATTTACCCAAAAAATGAGAAAGATTTACTTCTGTTTTTCCTCCTAAAAATGAGATGAAGGTTATAATACTGTACCAAGGTCCCAAGTTTCAATGACAAAACCAACAAATTTATGATTTAAATTTGTGTTGAATGCTTTACTTACGAAATATAGCATTTCATAAATATCTGGAAGACTCTTGAACCTGGGTCAGTGGCAAATAAATTAAACTGCGCGAGGTGATTGGCATACAGAGAAATTTGATCCAACACTTTTGATTGCTTCAAGTTCAATGAAAAAGATCCAGAATGTGTGTTGATTCTGCTTAATAAGACGTAAAAGAGTGTCTTATAAATAAATTTAGATAATGCACTCCTGAACAGGGGCATATAAAGTAAACTGAGTGAGAGGACTGAAATGTAGAGACATTTCACTCAGCATAGTCATTATTGCTTCAATTTCAATGAAAAAAAGATTCAGTAAATCAGTAGGTGTATTGAATGTATTACTGGAGCCGGAAACATTTTGTCTCGTGAATATGTATTGTATACCCCGATCAACGGCAAATTAATTCAACTGGGTGAGCCGATTGGCATTCAGAAAAAATTTGATTCAACTGCTGTGATAAATACAATTTCAATAAAATAAGATTCAGAATGTGTGCTGAATGTGTCGGAGGCGGAAAAATAGTTTCTTGTAAATTTATTTTACCCAGGTAAGTGACCAATAAATTCAACTGGTAATAAGACCATTATCTTGTAGAGAAATTTGATTCGACAGGTTTGATAACTCTAATTTCAATGAAACATCATTCAAAATATGTGTTGAATCTGTTGAAGGCGGAACATAGTGTCTTGCAAATTTATTTCAACCGGACAGTGGCGTAATTACCGGAATTCTCATGAATGAGATGATTAAAATTTGGAGCTATTCTACTCAGCAATTGCTCTTTAATAAAAAAAAAA